GAGGGCAGAAGTGAGCTAAGTGCCTACAAGGTGGGTCTGGGCGGAGAGAGGGAGAGGCCAGCTGTATGGCTGGAACTCTAGGGCAGGGAGAAGCTCAGGTCTGGTAGAGCTGAGGACCAGAGGTAGGAACCAAGATCTATCTCTGTCCACTACCCCCCCCCCCCACCCCATATTCTCACCCCCTTGTATTCTGACCCTGTAACTCAGCCCATGTCCATTATTTCATCAAGTTAAAATTCCCTCCGTTACTTTTCTCCTTTTCAGATATGACTCTACTATCTTACAGGCAGTTTTTGTCTCATAATAGTTCAACATTTTATTTATTTTTTTGTCACTCGTGGGCTTGAACTCTGGGCCTGGGCCCTGGCCCTCAGCTCTTCAGCTCAAGGCTGGTACTCTACCACTTGAGCCACAGTGCCACTTCCAGTTTTCTGGTGGTTAATTAGAGATAAGAGTCTCATTGACTTTCCAGCCCTGGCTGGCTTTGAACTGCAATGCTCAGATCTTAGCCTCCTGATTAGCTAGGATTACAGGTATGAACCACCAGCGCTCGGCTCTAGCTTTTTTTTGGGGGGGGTGGGGGGGTGGGGGTAGGGGTGCGGTCGTGGGGCCTGAACTCTGGGCCTGGGTGCTGTCCCTCAGCTCTTCAGCTCAAGGCTAGCGCTCTACCCCTTTAGCCACAGCACCACTTCTGACTTCTTTTTTCTTTTTGCTTATGTGGTGCTGAGGACTCCAACTCAGGGCCTCATACTTGCAAGGCAAGCGCTCTACCACTGAGCCACCTTCCCAGCTAGCTTATTTTTCTTGAGAAGGAGTCTTGTAGTCTTTTCTGCTTGGGCTGACCTAGAACTGTTATCCTCCTGATCTCAACCTCCCAAATAGCTAGGATTACTGACTTAAGCCCTAAACAGTGCTCCTAGTATCTCCAATTTTGTGTCTCTTTCAACATTCTTTCCCTGTAGCAGATGCTAATTCCATCCTAGCTACTCAGCCCTAAAACCTTAGGACTTATCCTTGACTTCTGTTTATACTCTACGTCTAACACTAAACACCTGTATTCCAAATATATATCAAATATGACTGCTTTCACTACCTCCTCTCATCATCCAGGTTCATGTCTCCATCATCTCTCACATGGATAAATAAGAAAGCAGCCTGGCTGGGCATTTGACCATGGCCCTATTAGTCTATTCTCAATATGTACCAAGCTCGAATAAAATCATATTACTCCTCTGCTCAGAGTCCCCTAATAACATTTCATATTCCATTCAGTCATAGCCCCTAACATGATGCAGGATTCTAGGTGAGCTGGCTCCGTCACCCCTTTGACCTGCTTACCTGTCATTCTCCCTTACTGCCCTAGCCTTTCTGGTTTCCCTGCTATTCTAGAATGTATCAGGTGTGGATCCTTGTCAGGACCTTTTTTACTTGCTCTTTTGTCTGCTTGAGTTCTTACACACACTTTCCAAATTGAACATGGCTCAGTCTCCTCGTCTTTCAGGCTTGTTGCCTTCTCACTGAGATCGTTCTATGCAATCTGCCCTCTCCCTCACATTTTTCCTACTCTTCTATTTTTATCCTTAGTACTGCTCTCTTTCTAGTAAGTACCTAGGGTTATTTATGTACTGCCTCACTAAAAATGTGAGTTTCCTAAAGGAAAGGACTTCTGTCTTACTGATGTATCGTCTACGACCTGGCCATGGCAGGTGGTTAATATACATGTTGAAGACATGCAAGAATGAACAATTCTAGAGGAAGGCAGAGGGGGAGAACCCAAGGAAAAGGCCTGCAGATTTGTGTATTCTGGCACTGGATGTAGAGTGACTCCACAGGTTAGCACAGCTGTTCCCATAACAGATGGAACGCTAAACCCAACCATTTTCTTAGACCTGAGCTCAGGCCACCACAGACCAATGCTGTTTCTAGACAAACACTTCAATATCTATGCCTCATCCATACACACACACACGCTGTAAATCTTCTTTCAATTAACATGCATGGGATAAGGTCAGTTATCTGAATATAAACCCCCCGCCCCTGGTCTGTCTCCAGTCTGAGTTCCTCTCCCTAAAATGTGATGCTTTTTCATTTGCCCTAGCCTAGGGACCAGCTACTGAAATGATTAGTGACTTCATCTCCCCTGGAAAAAAAAAAGGGGGGGGGGGGGCTGGCTTATTACTGACTCTCTGTGAAGACAAGGAAATATTGTTTTTTTTTTATTTATTTTTGCCAGTCGTGGGGCTTGAACTCGGGTCCTGGGCACTGTCCATGAGCTTCTTTGCTTCTTTTTGCTCAAGGCTAGCACTCTACCACTTAAGCAACAGTGCCCCTTCTGGCTTTTTTCTGCTTATATGGTACTGAGGAATTGAACCCATGCTTGCTAGGCAAGCATTCTACCACTAAGCCACATTCCCAGCCCTCTGATCTATTTTTTTTAGACTAATCTGAAATTAAGTCTAAGAAAACTAAATATTGACTATGGGAAGAAATGGCTCACTTCCAGTTCCCTGGCCCTTCTTACTGTCTCTTGTTCCTTATTCACACTATCTTAGAGGCCACATTATGACTTTACCAAATCCCACAAGAATGGTGACAACCCCAGAGAAGAGGCTCAAGAAAGACAACATTTGGAGATGTGAAAGCTAGTGACTGCTAGCTCCTTCTGAGCCACTTTCAACTTGTAGTCAAGATGAAAGGCCAGTTAATAGCTTAAATCATCACATAGGGGTAAAATGGCATCCTAAAGCACTTAGCATCAATCACCAGAACGAAACTTCTGCATTGTAATGTGGTAGCTTCCAGTAGGCACAGCAGACATTTCTGATGTTGAAACAACATGCAACTAAGGGAATGACATGCCCAACAAAAGATTCCAATGGCTGGGCCTGTAAGCATGCCTGTCCTGTGATGTAAGCAGTCTTGACATTTCAACACACTGAGATACACTAAGATGGAGTGTTCTGCCCATTTATAGCCTCTTGCTTTTGGCAAAGTTTATCTACCTAATGCGTGCCAGCCTGAAGCCTACTCTGATGAGAGGCATGGTGATCCCTGTGCCAGTTGTAGCCACAAAGCACCGAACAAGAACACATCCTAGGTGGAGTGAAAGCCCAGCTTCACCCATGTTGCTAATGCTGGCCCTGAGCCTACTCCTGGGGGCTCTTTTCCAGTGTCATATGAAGACTAGAAAAAGTTTTCCATTTCACAATCTGTTAACTAGAACAAATCCACCCATACCACCTGGAAGCATCTCCTCAAGGGCAATCTCCAATTCCATTCCTAGTCTGACAATGCCCTTGGGTTAGAAATGTCCCAGTTTTACCTTCTTCTTTCATCTTTCCACTCAGCTACAAAGATTACCAACAGAAAAATGAGACTCCCTACCTTAAAGTCCTACAGGAAAGATGTTGGTCAAAAGATATACCAGTAACAAGAGAAGTAACATTTTAATGAAAAGAGAAGGAAGGGAAAAAAAAGGGAGGGAGAAAAAGAGGGAGAGGGAGAGGGAGAAAGGGGGAGGAGGAGGGGCGGGGGGAAGAGAGAGATTCCTCCCCTTATAACAAATTTAGGGGGAAAAAAAATCACACAAATATTTGCTGAGTATTCAAAACAAAAGCAAAACAAAAACAGTAAATCCACTCTATGACATACATTTCTCAAACCCAGAAATATACTTTTGTGGTCCAGTCTAGAGGTAATGTTCCTAGTTTGTTGTTTTTTTTTTTTTTTTTTTTTTGGGTCCAGTCATGGGGCCTGAACTCTGGGCCTGGGCACTGTCCCTCAGCTCTTCAGCTCAGGGCTAGCGCTCTACCACTTGAGCCACAGCGCCACTTCCGGCTTTTTTCTTTTTTGCTTATGTGGTGCTGAGGAATCGAACCCAGGGCCTCAGGCATGCAAGGCAAGCACTCTACCACTGAGCCACCTTCCCAGCCCCCCCTAGTTTGTTTTTGAGACAGGGTTCTACTATGTAGCCCAAGCAGATCTCAATCTCTATATTCTCCCATATCATTCACCACCATGCCTGTCTGTGTTCCTGGTTTAGAATATACTGGGAAGAAATTCATAAACCCATTAAGCTGCCCAAAGGAACACTTCAGACATACTACCCAATGAACTTATTACAAAAAAAAAAAAAAGGTCTAGTACTGGTGGCTCCTGCCTGTGATCCTAGCTACCCAGAAGGCTGAGATCTGAGGATCACAGTTCAAAACTGGCCCAGGCAGAAAAATCCATGAGCCTCTTATTTCCAATTAATTAGCAAAAAAACAAAAGTAGATGTGTGGCTCAAGTGCCAGTCTTGAGTGAAAAAGCCAAGGAAGATCAAGAGGCCCTGATCAAACTGCCTCCTTCACCCCCCAAAAGACCAACTTGAGAGAAAATGTATTCTCCAGTTTTACAAGATGAACCAATTATCCTAAAAACTGAGCTCTGTTCCTACCATTACATCTCTAAAAGTTCTGTTACAAGCCAGGCGCTGGTGGCTCATGCCTGTAATCCTACCTACTCAGGAGGCTCTGATCTGACAATCACGGTTCAATGCCAGCCTGGGCAAGAAAGTCTGTTAGACTTTTATCTCCAATAAGCCACTCAGAAAACCAGAAGTGGTGCTGTGGCTCAGTGGTAGAGTGCTAGCCTTGAGCTGAAGAGCTTAGGGATAGCACCCTGGCCCAGAGTTCAAGACCCACAACCAACCAACAAATAAATAAATAAGTCATAAGGGCTGTTTGTGCAATACTTGCTTAAAGTAAGATTAGGAATTGCCACATACCTATTGCAAAGGACTGTTCATTTTCTGATACAAGAAACTTTTCAAGTTCTCCAAAAGTCTGCTATTAACTACTAGAACTTATAAGTTAAAAGAATGAGGCCAGAGGCATGGCTCAAGTGATACAGTGCCAGCAGAGCAGAGCCAAGCAATACTGAAGCCCTGAGTTCAAACCATAGTACAAAAAAAAAAAAGTAGTAATTCAAGACCAAGATATCAAAATGAACTACCCTACCTGCTGGAATGCCATGAGGTTCTGACCCAGACATCTTCCAAAATTTTACAGCTCTCTCCTCTTTGAAGGGCCTCCAGAGGCCCTAACTTTGACTAGAATCTGGGGGAAAGGGGTAGTGGCTAGTCTATTTGCTGTCCACAGGAATGCCAAACTCTTCCTCCTGGATCCAAGTCTCCCTGCAGGGCAATCAGAGGGATCCAATTATGAGCAACTCTAGTTGAGTCTTTTTGGCAGAGTCTGTATCCTTAGCAGCTCAGCTCAGGGCTCCTAATTATGTCATGATAGCTTTTTGTTGTTGTTTTTAACCAGAGAAGTTAAGCCTCTGTACAACCAAGTAGAAGAACTACAATAAGGAAACTTCCCCTTCACCCCTGCCCAGCCGATGAGAAACCATTTCCAACAGGTATTATTGCCTGTTAATATTATTTTCTGACAGATTCGCCCCTTCATCACAGGAATTTAAAACCGAACAAGACAGTGCACTTATTGCGGTTATATTTTCACTACTACAGATTTGTGTTAGTAATTGAAATTACTGCTGTGGTCCTGCTCTGCCTGAATCATTCCCTTTGCTAGCCAACACTCAAAACTTTCTAACCCTAAATATTTTACCTAAAAAATACCACTCAAAGCTGTGGTAAACACTGTAATCCTGGATACTCAGGAGGCTGAAATCTGAGGATTATTGTTCCAACCTAGCCAGTGTAGAAAAGTCACTGAGACTCTTATCTCCAATTATCAACAAAAAAAAGCTGGAAAGGGCCAGAAGAGAGGCTGTGGCTCAAGAGACAGAGTACTAGCCTTGAGCAAAAAAAAAAACCTAAGGGACAGGAGGGAGGACCGGTGAAGAAAAGCAATCATGATATTCAGTATACACATGTGGAAAATAACCTATGCAATTTTTGTGGGCAGAGATGAGCTGGGGAAACCAGGGGAAAACAAAGGAAGGGTTGACATTGTCCAAAAAAAACCAAAAACAACGTATTCATTACCTGACTTATGAAATGGTAACCCCTTTGTACTACACCACAATAAAATTATATTAAAAAAAAAACAAAAAACCTAAGGGACAATGCCCAAGTCTTAAGTTCAGGCCCCAGCACACACACAGACACACACACACACACGCAGCAGCAGCAATGGAACCTGACAGGATTTTTTGAATAAAAATCAAAGAACGTAGTAAGGACAGGTTTCTCATTGCCCAAAATAGAAGGCACATTTCCTTCCGAACGAAGATCAGAAAGCCACTGAGAAGAAACGGAAGCAAGGATAGGCAGCTGAAAACCATGAAATCAGCAGAGGGGATGGCTATGGGGTGGATGGAGGAAGGGACCAAGTGCCTATTTGGTTTTATTTATCAGGCGATCTGCCAGGCCTGCCCCTGGGCTGCGGGATTTCAGAGGTCTCCCCCGCAGGGACATCAGATAACAAGCTCGGGAGCTCCTCTACAAGTTCTCAGACTTCTCAAAATTCCAAGAGCCGGTCGCTGTCTCGTTGGAGACTTAGGGACCCCAGTGCAAGCATTAAAAAGCGGCTTGGGCCCACTCCCCCCCCCCCCCACCCCCAGGTCTAAGGCCCAGAAAGTTCCCTCGCCTCCAGACACCATCTCCGGATTGGGATAAATCGCGGAGCACGTTGAAGTCTAGGCCCATCTGGCAGACACCGTCCGGGTTTCAGGTATCCCCTCCCTCCTCTCAGACGCCAGAAGGCCTGAACGCCTGAGGGCACCTAGAGGTGAGGCGTCCGGGCGCCCCAGAGGGGAAGCCTGAGGAGCGTCCGCCATTCCTCAGGGCCGACCCAGGTACAGGTCCGCGGGCCGGGCGGCGCTCAACCCGGCTGACAACCTCTCCTGAGGGGTGCCAGGCTCGCCCCGGTGCCCGCTCCTCACGCCGGCCCCCGGAAGCGCCTCACTCCCGCCCAGCGGGCTCCGAGGGGGCGGGGAGTCGAACGCCCCCTTCCGGGTGCCTCCGCCCGGCTCACCAGCCGCGCTCCTCCTCCAGGCGGGAATCCTCCCTCCCCCGCCCCTCCCGTAGCCGGGCCCCGGTGCCAGGCCCAGCCCCAGGGGGGAACCCTCGGCCCCGGCCTCCCCTCCCCGCGGCCTCTGCCCGTCTTCCCGACCCTTGAGGTCCAGGAAGACCCCGCCGGCAGAGGCCGGGACCCACCGCTCATTACGACATCTTCCTCCCTGGCCTCCGACGCCTCCGCCGCCACCGAGAGCCTGACACCGCCCGCCTAGCACCCGCCAATCCCGGAGCCCGCCACTGCCCGAGCGACGGCAGCGTTTACCAATAAGCGTTCGGGACACTGGGGACCGACAGCACTACTAACTAATCAACGAGAGGCATCTAGAGCGACATTGGTTAGGCCAATAGGGCGGTGAGGCGTCACTGATGGACGGTAGAGACCACCAACCGGAAATATATTGAGAAATGAGCGACGTATTCGCCGGCCAATTGGTTGGAGGTAAAGTCCCGCCCACCAGGTAGTTGATAGACAGCAACAGGAAGCTAGATAGGGTGGGCTCAACTGAGGAGTGTTTCTGTATTGGTCGTGGTTGACCTTCCACCCACCTCTAACCCAGAAGATGGGTGATAGATCTGCCCTCAAGCCAATCAGAAGTCTTTAGGGTGAGGCCTATAAAATGCATATACCTTGCGCCTGACGCTTAGTGTTGGCACAGGTGAGTCCGGGTACTCCCTCTTCTGTGCTGCCGCTGTCAGCTTCCACTCATCCCCGGTGAGTGGAAAGCCACCAATTTGGGCTTATACCCGGCTCCTCGCCCGACATCGCCTTGGAAGAGGTGACTCTCTACCGTGAGACACTAGCGCCCCACACCGTAACGGGAGTTGGGGGTTACGTGACACTTGTTTAGTTTTTATCAGTCTGGGCCCCTCTTCATCCCCCCCCCACATTATTGCGGAGACCCCCGTAAGCCCACAGCCCCCAAACCGGAGCTCTACACGAGCAGATTCTCGGGGCGCCTCCCCTAATCAGATTGATTCTTTGGGGCGTGCCTAGAATCAGCGCCTTGAGTGGGCCGGATGGGGTTCGAGAACCCTCGGTAGGCAACCCCTAGGTAGGCTTATCTTTCTCGTACGTAAACCTGGCTTCTACAGACGCCTAATCTAGGAAGGCTGCCTTGGCACTCGTGCCAGGCAATCCGCTTTGGCTTCACACCAGCCGGGGCTGGAAACCTCCAGGCTGCACCTTGCCGCTGGGACCTTAGGCACCGAAACTCTGTGCCCTCTGCTCTCGGTTATAAAGCAGGGCTGTTCACACCTACACTTCAAAACATTCACTTTGGGCTGGCTCATGCCTGGAATCCTGACTACTCAGGAGGCTGAGATCTGAGGATCCTGGTTCAAAGCCAGTCTTGGCTGGAAAGTCTGTGAGATTCTTATCTCCAATTAACAGCTCCCCTCCCCCCCCCCAAAAGCCAGAAGTGGGGCTGTAGCTTAAATAATAGAGTGCTAGCCTCAAGCCAAAAAGCTCTGGGACGGCACCCAGGCTGTGAGTTCACAACCAGCACACACACACACACACACACTTTTTAAAACCATAACCCACAGTGAGAAATAAGTTTTTCACCTTTACCCAGTAAGCTCAAACTACGTGAATGTATAACAAAGGTTTTCTTAAAAAAAATAAAATACTTCCCTTTAGGACTTGATATGCACTGGTTATAGATACATTGATTCCTGCCACCTGGAATGGGATGGATTTAGGACTCTGTATTTTTGGCCGGTTCTGGGGCTTGAACTCAGGACCTGGGCACTCTTCCTGAGCTTCTTTTTGCTTAAGGCTTGCACTGGCTTTTTCTCTTTATGTGGTACTGAGGAATCAAACCCAGGACTTCATGCCTGCCAGGCAAACATTCCAGTACTAAGCTACATTCCTAACCCCATTTTCATTTTATTTTAGTTATTTTGTGCTGGTACTGGAGCTTGAAATCAGACATTACATGTCTGTCCTTAGCCTTTTTTTTTTTTTTTCCCAAGGCTTGGCACTCTACAACTTGAACCACAACTTCACTTCCTTTTTTTTTTTTTTTTTTTTTTTGCTGGTTAACTCAAGAGTGTCACAGAGGGCTGGGAAGGTGGCTCAGTGGTAGGGTGCTTGCTTTGCATGCATGAGGCCCTGGGTTTGATTCCTCAGCACCACATAAGCAAAAAGAAAAAAGCCAGAAGTGGCACTGTAGCTCAAGTGGTAGAGCGCTACTAGCCTAGAGCTGAGGGACAGCGCCCAGGTCCAGAATTCAGGCCCCACAACTACACCTTACCCCCCCCCCCCCCCAAAAAAAAAAGAGTGTCACAGACTTTACTGCCTGGACTGGCTTCAAACTTTTGATTCTCAGAGCTCAGCCTCCTGAGTAGCTAGTATTACAGGTGTAAATTATATGGCACCCAGCTGTTTTATTTTTTATTTTTTGCCAGTCCTGGGGCTTGAATTCAAAGCCTGGGCACTGTTCCTGAGCTTCTTTTGCTCAATGATAGCACTCTACCACTTGAGCCATTGCACCACTTCTGGCTTTTTTGTTTATGTGGTACTGAGGAATCGAACCCAGGGCTTCATGCATTCAAGACAAGCACTCTACCACTAGGCCACATTCCCAGCCTATTTTTTATTTATTTTTTTGCCAGTCGTGGGGCTTGAACTCAGGGCCTGGGCACTATCAAGTCTAACACTCTACCACTTGAGCCACAGCACCACTTCTGGCTTTTTCTGTGATTAATTTCAGTTAAGAGTCTCATAGACTTTCCTGCCTAGGCTGACTTCCAACCCTGATTGTCAGATCCCAGTCTCCTGAGTAGTTAGGATTACAAGCGTGAGCCACTGGCACTTGGGCAAATTATTTTACTTTCATATGATTGTGTGCTGCTAGGGATGTACCCCCAAGGCTTTGTACATGGTAGGCAGGTGCTGTACCACTAAGCCATACCTCCAATTGTCTTTTTCTCCTCCTCCTCCTCCTCTTCCTCCTCCTCCTCCTCCTCCTCCTCCTCCTCCTCCTCCTCCTCTTCCTTCTCCTTCTCCTCCTCCTCCTTCTTTTTGTCGGTCATAGGGCTTGAACTCTGGGACTGGGCGCTGTCCCTCAGCTCTTCAGCTCAAGGCTAGCGCTCTACTACTTGAGGCACAGCACCACTTCTGGCCTTTTCTGTTTATGTGGTCCTGAGGAATCGAACCCAGGGCCTCATGCATGCGAGGCAAGCACTCTGTTACTGAGCTATCTTCCCAGCCCTTTTCTTTCTTTTATTTGGGGGAGGTCCAGTCATGGGGCCTGAACTCTGGGCTTGGGCGCTGTCCCTCAGCTCTTCAGCTCAAGGCTAGTGCTCTACCACTTGAGCCACAGCACCACTTTTGGCTTTTTTCTTTTTGCTTATGTGGTGCTGAGGAATCGAACCCAGGGCCTCAAGCATGCAAAGCAAGTGCTGTACCACTGAGCCACCTTCCCAGCCCCCTGCCCTTTTCTTTCTTCTTGATCAGGACTGGCAGTTTGAAAAACACTGCCAGGAAGAGTTGATGTGCTAACATTATATGAAATATAGAGCAAAATGTTTATTACACAGTACTTGTTAATTAGCAGTCTACCTTTCTCAGTGTTAGTTTTTGCAAAATGACATTAGATTATATCACTCAGAATGTTGCTTAGTGGTAGAGTGCTTGGCTAACATGCATGAAGCCCTGGGTTCAATTCCTCAGTACCACATAAAGAGAAGTGGGGCTGTGACTCAAGTGATAAGAGTATTAGCCTTGAGCACAGAAAGGCTCAGGATAGTGCCTAGGCCCTGAGTTCAAGCCCCAGGACTGCCACCCACACACACACACACACAAAATCCTTCCCTAAGCCTTTCTTCATATAGCTCAAACTCTTTTCTAGGCTAATAAAGTCTTTAAAAACAAAACAAAACTGTTATTTAGGGGCTGGGAAAGTGGCTTAGTGGTAGAGTGCTTGCCTTGCATGCATGAGACCTTGGGTTCAATTCCTCAGCACCACATAAGCAGAAAAGCCAGAAGTGGAGCTGTGGCTCAAGTGGTAGAGCACTAGCCTTGAGCTGAAGAGCTGTGAGACAGCACCCAGGCCCAGAGTTCAAGTCCCACAACTGACGAAAAAAAAAAAAATTTGTGGGCTGGGAAGGTGGTTCAGTGGTAGAGCACTTGCCTTGCATGCATGAGGCCCTGGGTTCGATTCCTCAGCACCACATAAGCAAAAAGAAAAAAGCCAGAAATGGCGCTGTGGCTCAAGTGGTAGAGCACTAGCCTTGAGCTGAAGAGCTGAGGGACAGTGCCCAGGCCCAGAGTTCAGGCCCCACGACTGGACCCCCCCCCCAAAAAAAAAAATTGTTATTTAATTCAGACAATGTCCCATTGTATAGGCCAGGCTGGCCTCAAACATAAATCCTCCTGACACTGCCTCCTGAGCAAGTGCTGAGATTACGGTTATGTGCTACCACACATCACCCTCCACACTCTTAGGGATCCTTCATGGCCTTTTTCCTCAAAAATTCCCAAGTCTAAATACTCAGTCCCTACTTTGGCATCTTTCTACTAGTTCCATCCTCACTCTTCCTTTCTCCTGGTGAACTTCTGTGCATCCTTGAAGACCCTGCTCAAAGTCTGCACACTTCACTTCTATCCAACCAAGCTTTGTTCTGATCTATGTGTTAACCTGGACTGTTCTTATCACATGCAAGGGGCTTCCCTTTGACATGCTGTACTTTTTCAATTTTTGTTGTTGTTGTTGGTCATGAGGCTTGAATTCTTAGGCCTGGGCACTGTCCCTGAGCTCTTCGGCTCAAGGTGAGCGCTCTACCACTTGAGCTACAGCGCCACTTCCAGTTTTCTGGTGGTTAATTAGAGATAAGAGTCTCACAGACTTTTCTGCCCAGGCTGTCTGAATGGCGATCCTCAGATCTCAGCCTCCTGAGTAGCTAGTATTACAGGCATAAGCCACCAGTGCTCAGCTCAAATTTTCTTTCTTTCTTTTTTTGGTTGATTGTGGGGCTTGAACTCTAGGCTTGGGTGCTGTCTCTGAGCTCTTCAGCTCAAGGCAAGCACTCTACCGCTTGAGCCACAGAGCCACTTCTGGTTTTTCTAGTGGTTTATTGGAGATAAGAGTCTCACAGAGGAGCTGGGAAGGTGGCTCAGTGGTAGAGTGCTTGCCTTGCATGCATGAGGCCCTGGGTTCGATTCCTCAGCACCACATAAGCAGAAAAAGCTGGAAGTGGCGCT